ATAGCTCGCTGGCTGGTGATGTTGTTGATCGGTGTCACCACAGCGTGTATCGCAGCGTTTATTGACGTTATGATTGACAAGTTGGCGGGCTGTAAATACTCTATTGTGCGCAAATGTATCCTTTTTGATTGGTTAGTATTGAATACCAGTCTAGCCCAACCAGGTAACTCCATTCTGGTTTATATGGTAGCCCAGTTCTTGTTTAACCTACTTCACATGTTATTAAGCACATGGAAATAGAGGTAAAAAGTATATAAAGGTAGGAGAATAACCCATAACTCGCAGATCTATTGTGCTGAATTGCGTAGTATGGGCGTGGTCCGTGACTACTTAGCTGCCATACAGCTTATATTAGCTACATGTTCACATCATTCCACAACGAAAGGGGCTGAAATGAACCATAGCATCGGAGTAACCCTCTACTCTTTCCGAAAGATGCAGCGGGTTCTTTAAAATGCACACAAGCCAGTTCACACCAGACCTCCTTTTTAAGTCCTTATCCGAGAAGACTCGAACCAGGCGCCGATGTTGAAGCCGTAGTTAGCGGTGCCCCTGCCTTACTGGTTGTCCACTCGACTATATTCACTTACACTTACTGAAAGTGGCAGTCAGTTGGAAGACATAACCTCAATTATAAAAATGATAACACATAGTGGGATGTATTTTTGTATTCCTTAAACATTAGTTTTAGTTATTGACCATGATCTTGAGAGTACTAGCATCATACTCCCTTTCCTATTATGGCTGACAATTGACGTTGGCTTTGTGGCTATAGCAGCATTTCTTGTCGCTTATATTGAGGTAAGTTTTTTTCTTTATTTTGAATAATACAGGATTGCTTATACAGGTCTCCCTCCAATTAAAGACCACTTTTGTGACCGGGGTTTCCATGGTCTTTAGGGGCTTTGGTCTCTAATTAGAATAATAAAAGTAAAAGGCATTTGTTTAGTTGGGACCACAAAAAAATGGTCTTTAATTGGAGGTGGTCTTTAATGTAGTGGTCTTACATTAGAGGGAGACCTGTATAGAGAATTGTTTATATAGCAATCATATTGTAAAACATCTTCTAATTTGATTTAGTTGTCATATTATGGCTGGTATAAATGGTTTTAATTAATTGATCAATCGATCCATCAATTAATCAATTAATCAGTCAATTATCAGATATATCTCTTGTTATATTTAGAGAGCAACATAAGATAAATTACTGGTTATTTTTAGGATCAATTAAGTTACTTTACCTTTATACATTACTAGCCTGTTGCTGCTGGCAGTGGTATTCCTCAGATCAAGTGCTACTTAAATGGTGTTAAGATACCACATGTTGTACGCTTCAAGACCCTGGTTACTAAAGTCATTGGCGTCATCTTTGGTATGTCAGGAGGGCTAGCTATTGGCAAGGTTAGTAGAATGATTAATTTACAGCATTACTCACACACGTTTATGTTATAGTAAAAGTGTGGCGTGGCTTTCAACAATATGGTTGTCTTCCAAAATATGTCTTTAAAATACCATACCAAAGAACACAAGCGAACAATACACTGCAAGAGAATTAATTCTGGCTTACGAGTGACGACATAAAGGTTTTCCAATATACAATATACAATCAAAATATATAGCAAATTTGACAAAAATTTAAAAAAAGACAAAACTTTTTTTTGTTCCTTATTTGTTGTGTTATAAGACTGGGTGAAGTACACCAGAGTGCAGTCAATTTTTTTTTTCTCAATTTGATAAAGTATTACAGTACACAATAAAACCTCCTAAATGTCTTAAAATTTAAGTATATATATACACATACGCTGGATATATACGCATGGATCATCTTTGTTAAATATGGGTTTACACTTTACATTCTAATAATTTAGGTGTAAATGAGGCTGTTTTTGTTTTCTGTGCATATAGACCACGTAGTTAGTGGCGGCTCTAGGATATAATTTATGGAGGGCCTAAGATGTCCGACGGGGGGGGG